CATGTACCTCGACTGCAGGTTCCCTGGCCCTGGTCCGGGTGTGTGCAGGAGGCAACCAATCGATGTGTCTGTCTTACATCGATGTTTCTCTCTGTCTCTCCATTTCCCTTCCACTCTCTCTAAAAATCAATGGAAAAATATCCTTGGGTGAGGATTAACAAAAAGAAAAAAATAGAAAAACACACAAACACATGGAGACTAAATAACATGTTACTAAACAATGAATGTGTCACCAATGAGCTCAAGGAAGAAATCAAAAGTTACCTTGAAACAAATGAAAATGAACACACAACAACCCCACATCTATGGGGCACAGCAAAAGCAATCCTAATAGGGAAATTCACAGCAATACTGAACTACCTCTAAAAGAAAGAAAAATCTTAAGTAATCATACTTTATGCCTAAAAGAACTAGAAAAAGAACAACAAACAAAACCGAAAGTAAGTAGAAGAAAGGGAATAGTAAAGATTAAAGACATAAAGAGTAAAAAATAAAGTACAAGAAAAATAATAAATGAAACTAAGAGCTGGTTCTTTGTAAAGACAAACCAGATTGAAAACTTTTAAGTAGACTCATAAGGAAAAAAAGAGAGAGGACCCAAATAAATAAAATCAGAAATGAAAGAGATGTAACAACTGACACCATAAAAATACAAAGGATTGTCAGAAAATACTATGAACAACTATATGCCAACAAATTGGACAATGTGGATGAAATGGAAAAATTCCTAGAAAGATAAAATCTTCTAAAATTGAATCAGGAAGAATCAGAAAATCTAAATAGACCATATACAAGTACTGAAATAAAAGCAGTAATCACAAAATTACCAGCAAAAGTCCTGGGCTGGATGGCTTCATGGGCGAATTTTACCAAATATTCAAAGAAGTTGTAACAGGTTTCCTTTTCAAACTATTCAAAAACATTCAAGAGGAGGGAAGACTCAGGGCTCATTTTATGAGGCCAGCATGTTCCTAATTCCAAAACCAGATAAAGATACTACAGGAAAGAAAATTATAGGGCAATATCCCTGATGAACATCGATGTTAAAATCAACACAATATTAGCAAACCAGATCAAGAAATACATTAAAAAGATCACACACCATGATTAAGTGGGATTTATTCTGGTGATGCAGGGTTGCTACAATATCCACAAATCAATAAATGTGATATACTTAAAAATAAAATGAAACATAAAAAGCATATATATGCAGAAAAAAACATTTGATGAAATCCATTGCCCAATTATGATAAAAACTCTCAGGAAAGTGGAAATAGAGAGAACATACCTCAGTGTAATAAAGGCCATATATGACAAACCCACTGGCAACATCATACTCAATGGGAAAAAACTACATTTCCCTTAAGATTGGGAATAAGACAGGGAGTCGGCTTTCACCACTCTTATTCAACATAGTACTAGAAATCCTAGCCACAGCGATCAGACAAGAAGAAATAAAAGGCATTCAAGTTGGAAAGGAAGAGTAAAACTGTTATTATTTGCAGATGACATGATACTGTATATAGAAAACTCCACCAAAAAACTGCTAAAATGGATAAATTCAGTAAAGTAGGATACAAAATTAATATTCAGAAATTGGTGACATTTTTATACACCAATTATAAACTATCAGAAAGAGAAACTAAGAAAACAATCCCATTTAAAACTGCAACAACAACCAAAAAAGGTACCTAGGAATAAGTTTAACCAAGGAGGTAAAGACCTGTACTCAGAAAATTATAAGATACTAAAGAAAGAAACTGAGGAAGATACAAATCAGTGGAAGCATATACCATGCTCATGGATAGGAAGAATTAACATCATACAAATGTTCATACTACATAAAGCAATCTATAGATTCAATGCAATTCCAACGGCATATTTCACAGAACTAGAACTATTCCAAAACTCTATATGGAACCACAAAAGACCCTGAAGAGCTTCAGTAATCTTGAGAAAGAACAAAGTTGGAGATATCATGCCACCTAATAGCAAACTACACTACAGGCTTCAGTAATCAAAGCAGCGCGGCACTGACATAAAAACAGACACATAGACCAATGGACAGAATAGAGCCCGTAAATAAACCTACAGCCTTATGGTCAGTTAACATTTGACACAGGAGGCAAGAACATACAATGGGGTAAAGATAAAACGTTACTGAGAAAACTGGACAGATATATGCAAAAAAATGAAACTAGACCCTCTTTTCACCCCGTATAAACTTAAAATGGATTAAAGATTTAAATCTTAAACTTAAAGCGATAAACATCCTAGAAGATGCCCTGCCGGCATGGCTCAGTGGTTGAGTGTCGACCTATGAACCAGGAGGTCATAGTTCAATTCCCGGTCAGGGCACATGCTCAGGTTGTGGGTTCGATCCTCAGTGTGGGGCGTGCAGGAGGCAGCCGATCAATGATTCTTTCTCATCATTGCTGTTTCTATCCCTCTCTCCCTCTCCCTTCCTCTCTAAAATCAATTTTAAAAAGTAATTTTTAAAAATCCAGAAAAGGCAGTAAAATCTTGAACATTTCTTGAAACAATATTTTTTTCTGACATATCTTCTCAGGCAAGGGCAATAAAAGAGAAAATAAATAAATGGGACTACATCAAATTAAAACGTTTTGGCACAGCAAAGGAAACCATCAACAAAATGAAAAGATAACCCACTGAATGGAAGAACACATTTGCCAATGATACATCTGATAAGGGGCTAATATCCAAAATTTATAAAGAACTTATATAGCTCAACAGCAAAAAAACAAACAATCCAATTAAAAAATGGGTAAAAGATCTGAATAGGCACTTCTCCAAAGAGGACATGCAGATGGCCAATAGACATATGAAAAAATGCTCATCATCACTAATCATCAGAGAGATGCAAATTAAAACCACAATGAGGTATCACTTCCCATTTGTCAGAATGGCTTTCACCAATAAATCAACAAAAATAAGAGTAGGCGAGGTTGTGGAGAAAAGGGAACCCTCATGCACTGTTGGTGGGAATGCAGACTGGTGCAGCCACCGTGGAAAGCAGTATGGAGTTACCTCAAAAAATTAAAAATGGAACTGCCTTATGACCCAGCAATCCCACTACTGGGAATTTATGCTAAGAATCCTGAAACACTGATTTAAAAGTAAATATGCACCGTGAGTCCATTGCAGTATTATTTACAACAGTCAAGGTTTGGAGGCAGCCTAAATGTCCGTCAGTAGCTGAGTAGACAAAAAAGCTGCGGTACATTTACACAATGGAGCACTACTCGGCCATAAAAAGAAGAAAATCTTACCTTTTTGGATGGATCTGGAGAGTATTATGCTAAGTGACATAAGCCAGTCAGAGAAAGACAAATACTGTGTGTGATTTTACTCATATGTAGAATCTAATGAACAAAATAAACAAAACAGAAACAGACTGACAGTTGTCAGAAGAGAGGGGTTTGGGGGCTGAGTGAAAATGTGTAGAGATTAAGAAAAAACCTCCAACATCTCATAGACACAGACAACCGTACGGTGATTAAAAGAGGGAAAGGGGGTAGGGGAGGAAGAAGAGGGTAAAGGGATGACATAGTGACAGGAGACTTGACTTTGGGTGCATACACAATACAAATACAGATAATATATCACAGAACTGTACATTCGAAACCTATATAACTTTATTAACCAATGTCACTCCAATAAATTCAATAAAAATATTTAAAACAAAAAGGACAAATGACGAAGATCTTCAGGCAATCTGGTTTCAAGTTTCTCCCCAAGGGTCTTTCACATCCGCAGTTCCAGGATGTTCGCCATCACGCTGGCCCATGCTGGGAAGGCCGGTCTAGGCCGCCCTGAGCCTGGGCTGTTGGGCTGGCTGACGCTGAGCCAGCTGCTCCCAGAGCTCTGTGGGAATTCCAAGCCTGGACGAGAGTTCATCGTAGCTGGATGTTTCCACCAATTAAGCAAAATGATGCACCCAGCAATGATTATACAGGAGGCTGAGACATCACGAGCAAGTAAAACGTGGCCTGCCTGCAGGGGGCAAGTGCAGTGCGCCCGGAACCGCCGAGGCCGCCACACACTGAGGGGGGGCGCCGGGGCCACGGCCTGGGACCACTAGGCCTCCGGGCGCATAGAGCCCCCCTCCACAGACCAGTGACCAGCAGATGCCACCTGCATCGGCACTGCTGGGAATTTCTTGCCGGATGCCCGATTCAGCACGAGCCAGACAACGCATAGGACACGAATGTCCGGGGACATGCTTCGTTCAGGGGGTCCGGGCCTCCCTGATGGGCCCCAAACAGTGGGGAACTACTGAGGGGTCACTTTTCAGGTGCAGACACTGGCCATCAGCAAACACCTGTGTGCGTGTGCGTGTGCGTGTGCGCAGCAGGACATGGTTGCAGGTAATCAGATGTTGAACCAACAAAACCTGCGCAGTCCTGGTGCGTCCGGGGGCGCGGGAAGCTCTCCTCAGAGGCCCCACAGAGCAGATGCAGGGCTCCCCAGGAAAGGCCCCTGACAGCGGGGCTTCCCGGGAAGCAGGGGAGTGGATTCTAGAAGGGGCAGCTTCCTTTCTCCTCTGCTGTGACACAGCCTCCGAGTGACACCTGAACAGCACACATACCTGACCAATCAGCACGCACAATTGACTGGTGCCAACCCCCTCCACCCCCGCCCCCGCTAAACGTCCTCTGAGCACTGCCTCTGTGTCTCGGATACTCCCCTGGACCTCTGCGCACATGCCGAGTGGTGGGGCGGGGGCTGCTCTCCACCTATCTGCACACCTTGGGCCGGAGGATGCTCTTCCCAGGGAGAGGGCTGCGAGGGGGAGGAGGCTGGAGCCGCTGGGACCCCAGTCCTTTCTGGTAACTTCTAGTGACGCCAGCTCAGGGCAGCTGCGTGGGGAATCACCGCCCAACAAGGACTAAGGACACGGAGACACTAGTTTGAAAACAGTCTGAATGTGCACTTGGTAGCTGGAGAAAATACTAGCAGATGTCACTGGGAAAAACTCATAATCAGACAGAAACAAAATATATTTATTAGAAATATTAGTCATATATCATACACTTTCAGTTAATCGTGCACCCAGTTCTGCTGGCCCGGCCTGCCCTGAGGACGCTCAGACCACCTGGTGAGCTTGTGCAGCAACAAGGCCACAGGTGTGTCGGCTGCATCCCACTCCCGTTGTTAACTCAGCACTCAGGGCCTCAGCAACTCTAACCGGGTCAGGGAGGCGACCTCCAGCGAACTCGGGCTTCTGGGACATTAAACACACACTCACTAGTGAACAGGCAGCCAGGTCACACCTTCACTGCATGTCCTTGGCAGTCGTCTCAAATGGCTCAGCTCTGGGAGCAGAAGAACTGGGGCTGCATTTGGCAGAGGGGTTTTCACAGACCCGAACCCTCCATCGCCGCACCCGCACCCGCACCCGGTGAAAGGCCTGCCCTCGCCTCAGCGGGGAAGAGGGCGGCTGAGAACCCCTTGCGACGCCAGGCGGCTAAGCGCCGTGGGAAGTGCACTTTGTGTAACACCTGCGCACCAACGAAAGCTGTGAACAACAACAGATGGAGAAGGAATCCCGGAGGCTGCGCCCCTTTCTACAGTGAGAGGGGGCCCGGGTGGGGGAGTGTGCGTGTGCGGTTCCCCAGGACGCTACCCCGGGCGGCAAGGCTCGGCAGTGCCGGAGACCAACCACAGTTCAAGGCCACGACACCAGCCGGTGCAGAGACCATACTTCTATGTCTTTTAAAAACCCCGCCTGCTCTCATGGGTCTTGCATATCGCACATGTTTTTTATATAAAAATAATACATTAAAAATAGGGTCTGCAGAACCACCAAGTACTTTTAAACGACTGAGCAGTGGCTAAAGGATGGGAGAAACATGGCTGTTGTAGCCTCTGAAAACCTCAGGACAGGAAACGAAATGACACAACTCGCTGATGCCGCCGCGTTTTCTATTTATCTATTTCCCACATTCCCCTTGTGCTCTGAGCTCTCCAACTAAAAACACATTTAAAAACCCTGTTCTGTGGCTCAGCCCCGGCTGGGACAGCTTCTCCCCAGACCCTGCAGTGCCGGCTGGCCTGGCACCCAGCTGCCTGCAGGCCCCTCCCGCCCCCAGAGCCAGACCTGCTCAGCCACTGTGCTGTCCGACAGGACACACGCGCCCCTCCACGCGTGCCCACCAGCAACAAAATGGTAGTAAAGGAACTCCCTTGGATTATAAAAATAAGTTGGCACATGGTCTTCCTTTTGTATGACATTCCCCCTCTTTCTAACCTGCAGGGAGCAGGACTGGCATAGAGGGAGGGGAAAGGGCCCCCCCCCACACCCCCCGCCCGAGCCTGTGCTGAATCACCGTGGGAGTCACTGCACCAGGCGCTGACGGTGCTGACCCCCCTCCCATCCCAAGGCCTCAGGGTCTCTCCTGCACAAAGCCTCGAGGTGATAAGCCAGCACCTGCTGCTCACCTGCCCGGGCTCCGCCCCCACAGCGGTGGTGAGCAGGCAGAAGCAGTGGGAGAGGCAAGTGTCCCACAGGAAGCGGCCCAGCAAGGCTTTCACTTGCTCACTGGAGGAGGAGGGGACTTGTTCGGAGGGCACCTCCGCCTCCACTGGACACCAAGGGCCAGATGTGAAAGCAGCAGCAGCACCTGCCAGGCCCCATGTGGCCACGAAGCCGCTCTCTCCTTGGGCTCAGGGACTCAGACAACACGCAGGACCCACACCTGATGGGCAGGCCAGGTGCTCCCCAGTGCCCCAGAACCTCCACAGCGTGGAGGGCGGGTGGGCCTGCCGGGTGGCCTGGAGGGAGGGTGAACTCGCCTCTCCCAGGACAGAGCTGGGCCTGGAGCTTCCGGCCCGGCTGGAACAGCACCCCACCATGAGATTGACGTAAGCAGGGAGAGCGCTGTTGTAACACCCAGTGACCTGTGACAATGACCCTTGTCTGGGGGCACTAACACAGCTATGGGCACCTTCATTAGCAAGTGAAGGGCACTGATGAATTCACCCCGATTTACTTATGTGCACCGCACCCCACTTGCCATGCAATGTGCATTTATTTGCCGCCAGGAACACCGAAGAACCACCGGTGGTTACTTGCTCAGCGTAACTCCCAGGCGAATGGGGCCGCTCGAGGGGGCTCTGCTGTCACTTAGAGTGACCCCAGAATAGCAGAGAAACTGCATTTCCACCTCTGCCCATCCTTGTTGCCAGCTGAAGTACTAAATGCTAAACAAGTCTAAAGTTGAAATGTTTAAATTTGCTGTCTGCCCAGTATCCCAAGAAATACACCCGTAGGCTGTTTCACTGCACAAATACCCCAAACCCCAGCAGACACAGGGATTTCACACGAGTGGCTTCCTGTCGGTTCATTCTGCACATGGGACAAGCGTGTGTGGGCGAGAATGGGAGTGGAGCAAATGGGAGGACAGATGGAGGAGGCGAAGTCACTGCAGCTTCCCTTCGGCATGAGCACAGGCAGCTGCGAGTGACCCAGTCCCAGCACCGCCACCCAGAGAGCCAGGCTCCCACCTGCACCGCCGCCCGGAGAGCCAGGCTCCCACCTGCACCGCCGCCCGGAGAGCCAGGCTCCCACCTGCACCGCCACCCAGAGAGCCAGGCTCCCACCTGGAGGCCCCCACAGGGACAGTGAAGCGAACTACCCAGGGGCTCCTTCTCATTCTCCCATGCCCATCTTCCATCCACACAGCATGTGCAGGACAGTGGTCTCAAACTGTGACCAAGTCCTAGCTGTGCCGCTGTTACCTAGACCATAAGCGTACCCCAGACGGCAGGGTTCACGTGTTCCAGGCTGCTTGAGAGCAAATGCTTATCTTTTGTTGGGTGTTTTTGGAGGGGGTGGGTGGGTAGAAGGGCAAGGTTTTTTTAAAGGCCAAAGCCGGGACGCTGGTAACGAGGGGACTGGCAGGAAGTGCCGGCTGTCCCTGTGAATCTCAGGGCGGCTCCAGGGGAGGCCACACAGCTGCACATGCCACCCTGGGGTCTCCTGGGTCTGGAAGGAGGGAGGCCCTGGGAGAGCAAAGCTTCCCCAACCAACACCCCAAATGCATCTCAATTCAAGGTGGGTGCACGGTGGAGCCAGCTCTGTCTCATTTATCAGCTGGACCCCTGGATGGAACCTTCCTTTGAAACCCAGCAGCCAGGCCCTGGACGTGAGAGCAGGGCCTGTGGAATGACCGGGGCTTCCGGGATGATGGCAGGTGGCGGCTGGCGGGCCCCGCAGGCTTAGGTCTCGAAGTACTTGTAGATCTGGGCGACATACTGCATGACGCTCTGCCAGTCCGGCCGGTCTGTGTGCAGCATCTCGCTGAGCTCCTGCAGGAGGAAGGGAGAGGTCAGCAGCACCACGCACCCTCCCCACAAAGCAGCTCGGACCCAGGCCAGGGCTGCGCTGTGAGAACCCCCCGCCCGGGAAGGCGCAGGTGCAGGCAGCACCAAGGCAGTGGGAAACGTGATCGGGGAAAAGAAAAGCTTTTTCTTCTTACTCAGAAGACACCTTCCCTTTTAAAAACATGGGACATGACCTCCACCCTGCTCACCTGTTAACAACATGGCAGCTTTAAAAAAAGTGTGAAAAGAGGAAGTCACCCTAATTCCATTATCCTAAGGGTCTCCACTTCTCTGGGTTCCCTGTGACTGCCACACCTGCTTCCCACACTGACCTCCCACACTGCCACTGCCGCTGCCGAGGGAACTGCTGACCACTTCCCAGCACCCGGCCGCCTACGAGGACCCGGCCACCTCCCAGTGCCCAGCCTCCTCCCAGGACGTGG